AGCTGTAAACTTTCCTCTTAGCAATGCTTTTGCCATATCTCATAAGTTTTGGTGTATTTTGATACTGTCAAGATATTTGATACAGTAATATCAAAATATGCCACATCAAAAGAACAGTTGTAATGTCTCCTTTTTCATCCCTGATTTTATTTATCTGGGTCTTCTCTTTTTATTTTCTTCATTAGTCTGGCTAAAGTTTTGTCAATTTTGTTTATCTTTTCAAAAAACCAACTTTTTGTTTCATTGATTTTTTTGTGTTGTTGTTTCATTTCAAATTCATTGATTGCTGCTCTGGTCTTTACTATTACTTTTCTTCTACTAAGTTTGATCCTGTCTCAAACTTAGTAGAAGAATGTGTATATATATATTTGAGACAGGATCTTGCTTTATTGCCCAGGCAGGAGTTCAATGGGATGATCACAGCTCACTGCAGTCTCGACCTCTTGGGCTCAAGTGATCCTCCAATCTCAACCTCCTGAGTAGCTGGAACTACAGTCATGCACCACCACACTTGGCTAATTTGTTATTTCATTTGTTCCAATAACTTTTTAAATTTTTTTCCTTAGTTTCTTCATTGACCCACTGATCGTTCAGGAACATATTCTTTAATTTCCAAGTATTCATATAGTTTCTAAAATTCCTCTTGTGATTGATTCCTAGCTTTATTACACCGCGGTTAGAGAAAATACTTAATATAATTTCGATTTTTTTGAATTTTTAAAGACTGTTTCGTAGTCTAATATATGGCTTATCCTTGCAAATGATCCACATGCTAAGCAGAAGAATGTATATTCTGCAGCCATTGGATGAAATGTTCTGTAAATATATATTGGGCTCATTTGGTTTATAGTGCAGATTAAGTTCAATATTTCTTTGTTGATTTTCTGTCTGGAAGATTTGTCCAGTGCTGACAGTGGGATATTGAAGTCTCCAGCTATTATTGCACTGGGGTCTGTCTTTCTCTTTAGCTTTGATAGTATTTGCTTTATATGTCTGGGTGTGCCAGTGTTAGGTGCATATAAATTTACAATTGTTACATCCTCTTACTGAAGTAATCCCTTTAGCATTATATAATGATCTTCTTTGTCTCCTTTTATGATTTTTATATTGAAACCTGGGTCCTGGGCTTTTCTTTACAAGGAGACTTTTTATTATGGCTTTAGTCTCATTACTTGTTATTGGTCTATTCAGGTTTTGGATTCCTTCATGGTTCAATCTTGGTAGGTTGTATATGTCTAGGAATTTCTCCTTCTAGATTTTCCAATTTATTGGTATACACTTGCTCAGGGTAGTCCCTAATTATTCTTTGAATTTCTGTGATAGCAGTTGTAATATCTCCTTTGTCATCCCTGATTTTATTTATTTAGGGTTTCTCTTTTTCTTTTTTCTTCATTAGTCTGGCTAAAAGTTTGTCAACTTTGTTTATCTTTTCAAAAAATCAACTTTTTGTTTCATTTATTTTTGTGTGTGTTTTCTTCATTTCAAATTCATTGATTGCTGCTCTGATCTTTATTATTACCTTTCTTCTACTAAGTTTGAGGTTGTTTTGCTCTTGCTTCTCTAGTTCTTTAAGATGTGTTGTTAGGTAATTTATTTGAAGTTTTTCTTCTTTTTTGATGTAGAAACTTACAGCTACAAATTTCTCTTTTAGTGCTGCTTTTGCTGTATTTCATAGGTTTTGCTATGCTGTGTTTCCATTATCATTTGTTTTAAGAAATTTTTCAATTTTCATCTTAATTTTTTCATTGATTCACTGGTCATCCAGGAGCATATTGTTTAATTTCCATGTGTCCGTATGATTTCCAAAATTCCTCTTGTTGTTGATTTCTAATTGTATTTCTTTGTAGTCAGAGAAGATGCTTGATATGATTTCAGTTTTTTGAGTGTTTTAAGACCTGTTTTGTGATCTAACATATTGCCTATCCTTGAGAATGATCAATGTGCTGAGGAAAAGAATGCATATTCGACAGCCATTGGATGAAATGTTCTGTAACTATCTATTAGGTTTATTTGATGTATAGTGCAGATTAAGTTCAATATTTGCTTATTGAGTTTCTGTCGGGGAGATCTATCCAGTGCTGAAAGGGGAGTGTTGAAGACTCCAGATGTATTATATTGAGGCCTATCTCTCTCTTTAGCTCCAATAATATTTGCTTTATATATGTGGGTGCTCTAGTATTAGGTGCATATACATTTACAATCATTATATCTTATTGCTGTATTGACCCCTTTATCATTATATAATGATATTCTTTGTCTCTTCTTAGAGTTTTTGTCTTGAAATCTATTTTGTCTGATATAAGGATAGCTACTCCTGCTCCTTTTGGTTTACATCATCATGGATATCTTTTTTCATCTCTTTTTTTTAGTCTATATGTATCTTCATAGGTGAAATGTGTTTCTTGTAGGCAATAGATCATGGGGTCTTGTGTTTTCTTCTATTCAGCCACTCTATGTCTTTTGATTGGAGAGTTTAATCAAACAGAAGAAGTCTTCCACTGTAGCTACCACAGCTGGGAACAGTGAGTTGTTATATTTGCTACTATCAATGAGTCTACATTGACACATCATTATCACCCAGAGTTCATAGTTTACATTGGGGTTCATTCTTGGTGTTGTATATTCAATGAGTTTTTACAAACATATACTTATTAAAGACTGCATAGTACACCACGGGGCTATGGTCTCAATATTGTTTGTCCCCACCAAAATTCATGTTGTGGACTGGTCTCCAATGTGGCAATATTGGCAGGGCAGATGGTGTCTCTAAGTGATTAGGTCATAAGATGAATTAATGTCCTTCTCACAAGATGGGGTTAGTTCTCATGGGAATGGATTAGTTTCTGAGACAGCCGGTTGTTATAAAGTGAAGGTGCCTTTGTAGTCATTGAAATACAAAAAATAAATAAAATGATGTTGCTTCTAGTGTTTTGCCTTTTCTCATACAAACCTGGTTCACCTTCCATTTCTCCATGTTTTGACCAAGTATGAGGTCCTTATTGGAAGCTGTCAGATGTGGCTGCCTAATCTTGAACTTCCCAGCTTGAAGAACCATGAGCTAAATATATCTCTTTTCTTTATAAACTTCTCAGGCTCAGGGATTCTGTTATAGCAATACAAAATAGACTAATACACATGGTATGTATTTATCATGAGTACTTTATACTGTTATTTGAAAATCCATCTTCAAATGTTTTCTATTGTATACAATCTAGATAATGCAATGTGTGTTAAAATTCTTGCTCTTTAAACTTATAAATCAATACGAAAATAAGATTGATTCATAAAACAATACAAGAGAATGTGAATAAGTAATTGTGGAAGAAGAAATATAAATGGTCTATATAAAATGAGAAGTTGCTCAACCTCATTAACAATCAATAGAGTGAGAGTTGGAACAAGACATCAGTTTTGAGAGCTATAGATTGATGGATATGAAAAAGATTGATAATATCAGGGATGACTGCTATAAACTAGGGCTGTAAGGGCAAATTGCTGTATCCTTCCAAGGGGACAGTAGCAATATGTAACAACCGTTAAAATGCACAGACCTTTTGCAT